TGATTGCTGAGAAGTCATTCAGAAAGCTTTCCCTCACTGATCTGCACAGGGCCCATCTCTGCCCCTCGCACTGTGAGGACACCACACCCAGGCTCACCTGACTCATACCTGTTGGTAAAGGGCCCACTCAGCCTGCCCTGGGTAGCTAGCTCCCCAAGGAGCAAGTGAAGGAGAAAACAGTGAGATTTCCTTTATAATTCTAGAAAGATCTAAGGTACACTATGAAAGAAAAGATATATTTGACTACATTAAAAAGACAAACAATGATACGGCAAACATAAGTGGAATATATGCACCTTTCACCAAAATTGACTACTAGTATCCCTAATTTCAATGTTCTTAAGAGATTAAGGACCAAACACAAAAATGAACCTAAAAATATAAACAACTCACAAAAAAAGGAAACTCAATGTCTATTTAAATGTCCAAATGTAAAATGTAATATAAGTATAAAATATAAAATGTCAAATTAAGTTAGTTTAAAAAGAAGGCTGAGGGCTGGGAAGGTGGCTCAGTGGAAGAGCGCTTGCCTTGCATGCCTGAGGCCCTGGGTTCGATTCCTCAGCACCACATAAGCAAAAAAAAGAAAAAAGCCGGAAGTGGCTCCGTGGCTCAAGTGGTAGAGCGCTAGCCTTGAGCTGAAGAGCTGAGGGATAGCGCGTAGGCCCAGAGTTCAGGCCCCACAACTGGACCCCCCAAAAAAACAAAAATAAATAAAAAATAAAAAAATAAAAAGAAGGCTGATATGGTGTGGTAGTGCACAACTAAAATCCAAGCTACTAGAGATGCAGAAACAGGCAGTTTTGAAGCAAATGTGGGTAAAAAAGTGAGACTCTTAACAAAAACAAGACGGGCATCATGGTGAATGTCTATCATTCCAGCTACTTGAGAGGCAGAGATAGGAGGACTGTGGCTAGGAGAAAGTATGAGACTTTACCTGAAAAATTAAAAGCTAAAGGACTGGGGACATAGATCAAGTAGTTAAGTGCCTGCCTAACAAGAACAAATTAAATTCAAACCCCAGTACAGAAAAAGAAGTAGTATCTCTATCCCTGAAGGGCTATTTTTTTTTTTTACTACAAATTGGAAAAATGCCAACATACAATGAGACCACTTTAAGAAAGCTGTGGAATAAAGGCATTCTTATGTGGGCTGCCTTTGAACTTCTATCCTTAGACCTCAGCCTCCTGAGTAGCTGGGATTGTAAGGTGTGAGTCATCAGTGCTCATTTTTTCTTATAGAGTCCTATAAGAGTCTCATGGACTTTCCTGCCTAGGCTGGCTTTGAACCATAATCCTCAGATCTTAGCCTACTGAATAGTTAGGATTACAAGAGTAAACCACAAGCACCCAGGCACATTAATTTTTGGGAGGCATATTTTCATGAAATTAAGGGCAGGGAAACATTCAGATCACACAAAGATTTAAGCATAGCTGATGACAACTTGGGGTTCTTCATATCAACTGAGCTACAGAATGTTATGTGTGGAAAATAATTGTTTTTGAAATTCCTTTTAATTTTCAATATACATATATATTTTTATCACATTTGGTCAAAACTATATTTAATAAATGTGCAAATAATATAGGCTTACTATACAAGGCAACACTAGCATCAAGACAAAAAAAAAGGGAGGGGGCTGGAAATGTGGCGTACTGGTAAAGTGCTTGCCTAGCACGCATGAAGCCCTGGGTTCAATTCCTTAGTACCACATAAACAGGAAAAGCTGAAAGTGGCACTGTGGCTCAAGTGGTAGAGTGTTAGCCTTGAACAAAAGAAGCTCAGGGACAGTTTGCCTAAGCCCTGAGTATCAAGCCTCAGGACTGGCAAAAAAAAAAAAAAGCCAACTGTCAGTGGTTTGCACATGTAGTCTTAGCTTCTTGGGAGACTGAGAACAGGAGGAGGATGGTTTGAGGCCAGCCAGAGAAGAAAAATTTTAGACCCTTTCTAAATCTAGGTAGGGCTCAGTATTATATCCTGTTACCTCAAGTTACATGGGAGGTGGAGAAGGAGAGTCATGGTTTTATGCTAACACAGTGTACAGTTCACTACAAGTACAAGAGCAGGAGGCTCCCAGATATAGGGCTGGAGTCAGGGAGACAGCTCCTCAGCACTCATGGTGAGGGTGGCATGACCAAAGGCAGAGGCAGGCATCCACACTGTGCTCCATGGTGAAGATGGCATCCTATGTGTTTTATGAGAAAAGATCATGTTTGGGATTTTACTTAGAAGACTGGAATTTGAAAGCCACAATATTGGAAGGATCAGACACAGAGATAGAATTGCCACCATCTTACTTTGCAATTGATTCTTTTACTATCTTCCTGCCTCTCAAATGCATCTCTAACCAAATCCTGCCTCCTTGTGGACCTGCTACTCCAACTTGCCTGCAGCCTTGTTGCCCAGGAGCCAGCATTCTGTTGTGGCCCAGCGTTTCCTGTCTGTGCTAGCTCCTACCCACCTCCTCTCCATTCTACACCATTCCTACCTCATCACCGGCCCAACCACATCCCCTAAAACGATGCTTCAATTTCACAGATCAAATTACAGTTCTTAGTTACGAAGAGAAACCATGATCTGGGGTTACTCTTTGTACACAGAGGACACATCCTAGCTGACACCTCCACTTGGAATGTCTACTGACCTGGCTTTCTGCTTGACTTTTTGCGCCCCCCGCCCCTTCAGATTTCCAAGCTACTCAGGAGACTGAGATCTCAACATCAAGATTCAAAGCCTGCCTGTGTGAGACTCTTATTTCCAATCAACCAGCAAAAAACCACAAGTAGAGGTGTGGCTCAAGTGCTATAGTGCTTGCCTTGGGGGGGAGGGGCACGGGGAAAACAGCAAAGTGCTAGACCCCAAGTTCAAACCCTATTGGTGTCACATGTAAGTAATTTTAATGAAACATGCATGAACATAAAAAGCTCTACCCTATTGGGTAGGAATATCTCCTGTAAGGAAAGAGGAACACAGTAAGCTCTTGGGTACAAGGCTCACTGCTAAAGCCCTCCTGAGAGCACATGGGTCTGAGGCGGTACTTCCAAGGAGTCAGACCTCAGTAAGCAAGCTGGCTACCACAGAGCCCAGGAATCAGCACATAGAACCATGGAACTACATAAAGACACCTCAGCTAAGAGACTCCAGATTGTCTCAGATCTTCAAAATGCATCAACTAAAGCCTCAGCTTCACATGGGAAACTGCCAGTGTGCCAGGGAGGGGGCGGGGCGGGGCCTAAGGATACTTACTGTGTGCGGTGTGCTCGAGGAGCGTGCTGTAGGCACAGAGGAGAGGCTGCTCTGGTGGCTCGAGAGGGAACTAGAAGACAAAAGAGAGGACCAAATGTCCACTCAAACAAGCTTCTCCACACGAGTCAGGTCTCCCTGGCTTGAATGGCTACAATGAAGCTTATACCCACCCTGGGGAAGCCTGACCTTCAGACCTCCTGCCCTCAGAACCTAGTGACGAGGTCCTGGTGTTTAGGAATGACCTAAAGGATCCCTTGCCATGAGATTTGATGTATCCTGGCCAAAACTTCCACAGGCAAGTTCAGAAAACAAGAGATTCCTTTGCTCTCACAGAGATAAAAGGAATAAAAACAGTATCACACTGCCAACTCTGCCATGCTTGATTAAGAGCTCATAAAATGACGCCATATGACAGAGTAAGAGCCTGATTTCTCATCATGTCCAGAGGCCCGTCCCAACTAAAGGGGCTAAAAGAAACTGTACACTGAAGATATAGGTAACAAACAAACCCATTTTCCTACATCTTGTTCTCTGGAGCCATGGCAAGTGCAAGTCAGACCTCTGCTCAGAAATCCAACCTCATTCTTATTCCACGTCACAGTAACCTGGCTGAAAGCTGGGGACAAGTTAGGCTTATAGCATCTGCCTGAGGTCCAAGGAAGTACAGGAGTCCAAGGCCCCAACCCTTCCCAGGAGACCCAGAGCTCTATTGCAGCAGAGGCATTACAAGCAGTTAGTTTTCACATCTGGTACTTTTGAGACCTGGCCAGGCTCAAACCTAAACTAGGGTACTAAGGAAAAAGTTCAAAACATCATGTAAGGGCCTACAAATGGATTCTGTTCATGGAAACAACCCTTTGAAGGGGTTCAAGGACTTTGCCCCAATGTACTTCTCACTTTAGGCCCACAGTTCCTCCATACCTGCTAAGCTGAGAGAGGGAACTGCTGGCCAGGTCACCAGGCTGGGACAAGGAGGGCAAAGTGGCAGTGTGCTGGGATGCAGAGGGCAGAAGCGCAGTGCAGGAGGTGGTGCTGGGCAGGGAACCCACAGATGGGAGGGTGGAAGGAGGGTCTGTTGTCTTTGGAGCTGGAACGGATGAAGTAGCTGTAAGAAACAAATGCATTGAGCTCCTGAACCAACACTGATTATTGGAAATATGCTCAGTATCTTTGACATGTTAGGCTCAGATGACATATATAAAGTTATGTAACCTAGGACAATTCCCAAGCATATCACCAGATGGCTCCATCTCTGCCAGACTGTACTACTGAAACTGTGAGATGACTGGACATGCAAGATTTGAACCCAAAACAGGCAATGACATTTTAATAATTATTCACTGTCCTGTGAACATACCTGTCCCACCTACCGACACCTAACATTTGCAGCAACCAGAAAGGAAAATAGATGCTGAGACAGGTACACATAATTACAAGCTAAGGCCAATTTTCCTCCAAAGGCTCAACAGAGAAGAGTGCAGAGCTGACTAGCAAGCCACTCCATGGTGCTTTCATCTACCTCGCACCAATGCAGATGGGTATCAGCTCGGAGCAAGTGGGCACGAGAATGCAGTGTCCACACTGTGGAGATGTCTATAACTGCCTATAATATGCAGAAAGAAAACATGTTGCTGCTCGATACCTACTTCCAAATGCCCTGCAAGAACATCCTTGGAATGTGCTTCAACAGTTTACTCTCAAGGCACATAAACAATTTATTGGATTTCAGAACAGTCATGGACATAACCTGACTGGTGAGAAAGACTCAGCTTCATTTTGTCCACACATAGAATTCAGATATGTGCTTGGAAGAACATCACTGTCTTTCCCTTCTGCCAGGCTCTATATAAGCACCAGGGGCAGCACTCAACAGGAAGAACAGGAAGCAGCAGGCCAACTGTCTTTAGGTCAATTCTTGAGTCCTTTGCATTCCTAAGTCCTCCCTCTCACTGACAGGTTATTCTAAAGATTAATTTGGTTCTTAGACAATCAGATAAAGACAAAATTGCTGTACTTGCCTGAATTTGGGGATGACCTGACAATAAGCCCACAGTAAGACTCCCTCTCAAAGAACAAGAGATGGGAAGGAAGGGGAGGAACAGATGGCAGAGAGTACTGAAAATAAAAACCAATCTTAGTTGGTCAGGGTGGCTCACATATGTAATCTCAGCTACTTAGGAGACCAGAAAGATCGCATTTTGAGGCCAACCACAGACAGATGCACCAAGGGTTGGGTGCTGTGGCTCAAATAATAAGGTCCTGAGTATAAATGTCAATGCCACTTCCCAAAAAAACAAAATAATTAAAAATAAACCCAAACTATCTTAGTTGCATATGTTTTCTAGATACTTCATATATTTATTACCCCACTTAAAACTTCCAAACCATTTAGGACCTCTCTATATGTTCTCAACCCCATGACTGATCAGAAGAAATTTGTCACCATAGCTGCTGGAGGGAGTTGTCCCTTAAATCCAACAAGCTCAGCACTCCTCATCTCTCAAAACAGTTCTAACAGCCTAGCATTATCATCAAACACAAATTCTGGAGATTTAAACCTATCATTTCAACTGCAACGGAGGATTACCCTGGTCTAAATATCTCTATTCATACTCTATATCCCCAAAACTCTATTTAAAAACAAAAACAAAAACAAAACAAAACAAAAAGACAATTTGCCTTGTGAAGGTTAAAATGTGTTTGTGACTTTAGTAAGTATCACTATCTCACAATACTGTAAAATTTGTGAAATTTATGTAATCAATCTCAATTAAAAAAATTATTTAAAAAAAGGCTTTAGGGATCGAGGCGTGGCTCAGTGATGAAAGTGCCTGGCTATCAAGGTGAGCAACTGAGTTCAATTGCCACTACTGGGGAGGAAGAGGGGGTGAAGCCATCAAGAAACAGGCTTCCATGCAAGCAGATGTCTGTAATCCTAGCACTCAGGGTAGGAGTGTCACAAGTTCAAAGCCAGCCTGGACTACATAGTGAGACTCTATCTGCTTCTTCCTCCCCCACCTCAAAAAAAAAATCTGGCTTCTAGATCCACAGGGGATATCTATTTGCCTTACTTAATGATAAAAGAAAACTACTATAAACAAGCACAGACAAGCTAAAAACAACTAACAGGGATTCACCTGAGGATTCTCCAGTAATCACTGAGCTGTTATAGGTATAGAAGAAAGGGATCCTCATTTTCCTGTGCAGCATCCACAGTAAACAACACTTAGGTCTCTTCCTAAGCAATAGTCCTTCAGGTCTTGTAAACAAAAAGCACAGTCATTTTCTGTACTAAGGATAATTTCTTCTGTAGAAGTCCTTGATTATTTTAAAACATTACTGATGTGATAGCCCTTTCACCAACTTGGAATCTGTCTGTCAAAGCATCTTCGAAATGAGTAACATATATTGCACTGTGGCGCAGTCTAATATGGCAGAATAACAGAAGATCACCTCCGTTTTGTGGCTGTGATATTTCTACTATACTACCAGCTATAATTTGCTCACATAGGAACTTCATGCTAACTTTACTGATTTTGCCACAGAAAGAGGAGTGAGTCTGTCTTAATTTTTTTTGTTGTTGTCGTTCCAATGAAGTGGAAATATATGGTGGCATATTCCTGTTTTCTCAGGCAAGAGGATCTTGAGGCTAGCTTGGACTATACAGTAAGACCTGCTTCAAAAAACAAAAAAAAAAAAAAGAGGGGGCTGAGGCATGGCTGAAGTGGTAGAGCACATCCCTTGCAAGCCTGAGGCCCACAGCTTAAACTCCATTATGTCAAAAAATTACTTAGGTACTTAATTAATAGGGTAGAGAGAAAGGAAAGAGAGAAGTTTCCAAGAAAAATACAAAAGGGCTGTTTGGTTGGTTTGTTTTTTTAGTTATTCAATTGGCCAATTGGTATTTTCCTCATTATATCACCTACATCACCATGTTTCTTTGATTGATTCCTGCCAGCCATATAGTTAGCTGATATACTCACTAGTGTCTAGTGTCTGCTGACTTCGTCCACCACCATGGCCATTCTACAAGGAACAGAAGAGAAAGTAAGTGTACCCATGTACATACCCACATGATTACCCAGATGATTACTGGGATCTAGCAGTAATCATATGAAGTACAGATTACTGAAAAAACAATTCTGTTTTATCCTACAAACAACAAACTCTAATAAATCCCAAGGAGCTGACATTATTTGTTGTTTTTTTTTTTTTTTTGAGGGTCCGGTTGTGGGGCCTGAACTCTGGGCCTGGGCGCTGTCCCTCAGCTCTTCAGCTCAAGGCTAGCACTCTACCACTTGAGCCACGGTGCCACTTCCAGTTTTTTCCTTTTTGCTTATGTGGTGCTGAGGAATCAAACCCAGGGCCTCATGCATGCAAGGCAAGTGTTCTACCACTGAGCCATCTTCCTAGCCCTGCTGACATTATTTGAAAATCAGATTTAGTTTTGGGGAAGAGGACATAGCAATGAAATAGTCTTTTAATAACTATTAAAATATCCAACTATATAAGGAATATATACCCATTAAAGAACATAGTACCTTTTTTTTTTTGCCAGTCCTATTGTTTTAACTCAGGACCTGAGCACTGACCTTGAGCCTCTGTGCTCAAAGCTAGTGCTCTACCACTTGAGCCATAGCACTACTTCCGTTTTTTCTCAGTAGTTTATTGGTGGTAAGAGTCCCATGGGCTTTTCGGCCTGGGCTGGTTTCAAACTGTGATCCTCAGATCTCAGCTTCCTGACTAGCTAGGATAACAAGAGTGAGCCACTAGTGCCCAGCTGCACCATTATATTTAAATCACCAGATACCTTTATTTGTCTCATGCAAGTTCTGCCACTTGTACAAGAAAGAAAATGCTAACCAAATGCAAAAAATGTAACTCCCATACTGGGAATTAACAGGTTTGCTTGCATGTTCATTTGGCAGTACTAGGATTTTTTTAATTTTTAATTTTTGCCAGGCCTGGGGACTGAACTCGGGCCTGGGCACTGAACTCAGGGCCTGGGCACTATCCCTGAGCTGCTTTTTCCTCAAGGCTAGCACTCTACCACTTGAACCACAGTGCCACTTCCAGCTTTTTCTGTTTAGGCGGTACTAAGGAATCAAACTCAGGGCTTCATGCATGCTAGGCAAGCAGTCTACTATTAAGCCACATTCCCAGCCTCACAAAATATACTTTTATGATAACTGCATAAAATATATTTATTTTTATAGTATGTGTACCAGATTAAAAAAATCAAAAGGGATATGAAACAATATTTATCACAGCTGAGGAATATTTCACTTCACCTTGAAAATAATTTTAAAAATTAAAATGATGGACTAGTCTGTGGTTTAAGTGATAGAACAAGCAGGAGGCCTAGATTCAATCTCCAAGACCACCAAAAAAGTTCTACAAACCGTAACAGCTGGAGATGCAGCTCAGTCATACAGTGCCTGCCTTGCATGAACAAAGCCTTCAGTCTCTAGCACTATAAAAAATAAAGTACAACAGATGGACAGACACAACAGAGGGCTGCATGCTTCTAGGAGAAGAATGTAGAAGTTCAAAACACTCAAGTATCAAGGGTCCAGGGAAATCAGAATCAATAGCTGAAAACAGAATGAAATGGGCAGTGATGTGGACAAAGATAGCTTGAACTAAAGCTAGAGCTGGGACTGAAATATCCTGGAGAAGAAGGGGACTGACGTATAGATAGCAAAGGGCCTGATTATGCTTCAGAAACAGCATACCACCAGCACTGTTAAAGAGAACTTTTTGCAATAATGGAAATACCTGTTTGCATTTTTTTGTGTAAGAACTACTATTAATTTACTCATTCAGTCTCACTAGCTTTGCCTCACCTAGACTTGAGCTTACAATCCTCTGACCTATACCTTTGATTTAGCTAATATGTGTGTATGTAGTTCTGGGCACACATTCATTGTTCAAGCTGGAGATGTCTGCTATAACCAACCTCATGCATTACAAAGATTTTACTCAAATGGCTGGTCAATCTACAAAATAAAAATCCTATCCAAAGGCATAATGCCTAAACCACAAACTAACTTTTTTTTTTTTTGGTTGGTCATGGGGCTTGAACTCTAGGCCTGGGCGCTGTCCCTCAGCAATTCAGCTCAAGGTAAGCACTCTTCCACAGCACCACTTCTAGTTTTCTTGGCGTTAATTGGAGACAAGAGTCTCACCGGGACTTTCCTACCTGGGCTGGCTTTGAACTGTGATTTTCAGATCTCAGCCTTCTGAGTAGCTAGAATTACAGGTGTGAGCCACCAGCGCCCGGCTACCACACACTGACTTTTAAAGAGGATATCCAAAGAGGAGAAACTCAGAAAACTACTTACTGTGATGGTTCCAGGAGTTGACTCCGATGGACTTACAGAACTTTGGTATGCGATCCTGTTGTGCACAGAACTCTGGTCATAGGAGGAAGACGTTGTTACTGGGCTAGTAGAGCTCAGGGCTGAGCTGGTCAGACTAGAGGAGGTAATGACTGAAGTTGTATAGGTGGTGTTCTGTACAGCACTGGTCATTGGTAAAGAGGTATTCAAAGGATCACTAAAAACAGTAAAGGGTATGGAGATAAACATTATGCCATTTGATTTAAGTAAAACCACAAAATCCATTTATAGTCATCTTCTAAATTAAATGAACATATAACACATTTATATTACTATGTGTTACAATTCAATTTCAAACACACACACACACACACACACACACACACACACACACACACACGATCCACCTGATTTAACTAACAAGTAGAAATTGTTAAAACTCTAGGTAACTTTGGATTTGAAAGGGATTAAATAGGCGTATGAAAACCAGA